TACAAATTGCAATAATAATAATAATATGTCTAATGAGAGAAAGAAATTGTGTTTGCCATTCGTGTTCGTATCTTCGTCGTTTGCGTTTGTAAATGGACCGTTTAACGGGTCATCGCATCGACAAAGTATGCAATCTCGAAATACATTCGGATTTCTAACGGTTTGTTTTGTACACGTGATATGCATAAACATACGTGCTAATGTGGCGGTGTGGATTGCGTTACAAGGCAGCGATTGTAGAACGATACGCGGATGTGTAGTACAAGAGATGCGCGCACGTGGATCTTGTTATTATCGTGACTGCTCTTCGCATCGGTGTGCATTGTACCGATATAATATCTCACGTTACTGCTGCAAATGTACCCGGGTGTGGCTACAATTGGTCACAACGTGACACCTGGGTGTACCTACACTTATATTACCAGCATTCGACAGTTAGAATTTATTCGCACGTATTCGATTTTAAAATCAACGATACGTATCTAAGATTCATCGAAACATATCCGTATTACATTACGTTTCCATTGTCCGATTGTTAATGATAATCGTATTACGTAATAACGGTAAACGAATTTTTCGAATTTTATATTGTCGACGAAATATACTTAAAATATTTTAGCAGGTTACAATATATATTACCAAATTTAATTATTAATTTATATTTTTTATTGTGTGTATATGTAATTTTTCTTTCATTTAAAACATACTCTTTAATAATTTAAAAAAAAATTGAAGAATATGCATTTTAAGATTTTAAGATTGAGGTCGTCATTTATTAATTCATTTGTTATAACTGCAATATTTTAATAAGTATATATTGTATATATAATATATATAACTCAAAACAGTTCTCAATAATGCAAATTACCCGATAATTAATTTATAATTTGATTTTTGAGAAATGCAGGAGGTATATGAATTTATCTATTTTGTTCCATTATCGCATAAATATTTTTTTCTCTTTTTTTGCGGATCAAGAATATTTATATTTAATATTCATACCAATCTATTTGTCATCACAACGCGTTTTAAGCTTTTTTACTTCACCCGACGATAATTCCACTGTCAGTTCTAATATTGCAATAATCTTACAGTTGCTTTTCCGCACATTCCGAGTTAAATCCAATGATCATAAAATTACATATATTGCGTACGTATTAGCGAATAAATACACGATGAAAATTACGCTTAGCCTAAAGGCATACCCGTATCCAGTATAAAAGCAGCGACACCGCATGTAAATTGTACGAGATACTTATGACGTTGCTTCAACAGTTACTCTACAGGTCATTTTAATTAGAGAGCTTTAGAGCAATATTAATATTAATATCTCGCCTTAGCGTGCACACGCCTACGGCATTAATTAATGACTTTGCGTTTCGTATTAATTTAGCGTGCCGCTTAATAACACCTGCTCTACGTTGCGCATAGTCGATTTTTCGACACATTTTAATCGAAATAGCAATTTTGCCACGTTAAGATGTGTAACATAGCGTATGATGTATCCATTTGTTAATTTACTAACTTTAGTATTTTTTATATATTAAATCTGTGTAGTGTTATTCTTCTTTTATCATTATTGCCTCAATAATAAAATACAATGTCTAATTTTGTTAGAAAAAAATCTCATTTGTATGTAATATAAACAAAATATATTTTGAAGTAATTTTAATCGAAGTGCGATATATTATTTGAAACATAAATATTTTACATTTAAAAAATTTTGTTAAATATCTTTAAACATTATTTACTTAAAACTTAAAAATCCCGATACCTTTTATGATTCAATATGCAATTCAATAAGCTTAATATACGTTGGGACTATATCGTCTCAAGACAATGTTACTTGAATACGATATTTACACATATATACACATAAATATTCGTATAGTTATTTACTATTACCTTTACATGCCTACACTTTAGTTGACTGTTTAATTTATGAGTGTCTAATGATAGAAACAATGTTAATGTACTTGACGGCTTATATGAAAGAAGTGATCGAAGAAGGCGGAGGAGAACACATATACACACAAGGAGCGTCGTAAAAAGAAAACATTGTCAACGAACGAGTGCCGTTTGCAAGTACAATGTGGAATTAATCAATCAAATATGCATTAAGTTCTCTTTTATATGAGATGCCGTCATACATAGAAATATTTTGTCTCGTGTCTCCATCTAAACATTTACTACAATGATGCTGTCACTAAATATTATACATTGCGCTTCTCGTGTGTGAAAAATAAATTTAAAATTAAGTTCAATTTCACGCACACAATGTTGACGCTTAGAAAAATTTAAACAAAAAAAATTACGTAAAATTACGTAACGGATGTTTAAATACAATTTTAATGTGATATTATAGGCATCTGTATTTTGATAATTAGTCAACAAACTTGAAATCTCAACGGTTGTTTTTATCAACATGCGCCGACGACGACTTGGCAAATCAAAATTAACCTAGAATTTGTGTTTTCAAGAGATAGTTGGCGGATTTTCAATGGAAGCAGTAGCCGCGATCGCGTAATGTTTTCTTAATCTCACTTATAACGTAAATGAGAGTATACTTGTGCGAACTTCCGCATAATTCACGCATGAATTAATCGCGCGCACACGTTTGAATGGCCGTTCTCTTTCGGGGATTTGGCAGAATTCCATGATACTTTTGATACAACAACCAGGAATTGTTCACTGCGTAGCATAATAACGATGTTTACTCGATTATGCCGGCGATCTGTTATTACGAATAAGCCATAATAAACGAAGTAAAATAGAGCGTTGAAAAATATTAGTGATTATTACGTTTTAGTATACCTCTCAGCAAAACTTAAATAAATTACATGACAAATTGAATTGTGGCAATCAAGAAACAGGACAGTTCATAAATGACACGAAAACATTGTTTACGTCAAATATAAGAAAATATTTTTATGCCATGCAACAAAAAATGTATTCAATCATTAAAAGTAAAATTAATATTTTTCCACAATTTAAAAAAAGAAATTCCATTTACTTTATAAAATATTATTAATTATTTCAATGGGAAAATATTGGCAAAATATTTTTATTCAAAATAAAGTTAAAAAGTCGAATATTTATTTAATGAAAGTAATGGGTTAAAAATTATTTAATATTTATATTATATTGTATGTTCATAAACAAAAAATTAATTATCAAAAAACCATCGAGTATATCATATATGAAAAATAAATTAAACTTGTAATTTAGAAAAATATCTTGTATTATACTACGTATGAGAATGTCGCTCGAATTTATTGAATATACTTTTATTCTTAATTTTTCAAATTAAATATTTATTTATTCGAGACACAATATCTGATGCGACATAACGCGAAACATAGCTTATAATGCAACCGCGTTTACATCTCTTATGCACGATTTCTTTTCATAAAATATGTAGTTATTGTATCGTATGCAGCAGAGATGCGCTACATACTCGTAGTGCATCCAGTTCACCGAAGAGACGCGCAGAAATCAAGTCGAGCGAGCGGGCGTGTTTGTGGTTCCGTGGCGGACGTGGATGGAGATAACACATTAAAATAGTACGCTGGCATATAACGCGATAACACGTATTTATAATATCTGCTGTGAGACGTTCCTCGCGCGCCGATATTAAATAGCGCGTTCACATTAATTGCAGCGACGTCGCGTCGGGCAGTGCAGCCCATTGTCGACGCCTCTAACAATAAGATATACAACAAAGTCTGGATCAACTGAATTATTCCGTTATCACGATGGGTTTTTGCTGTATCAAATTTAACAAGATACAACATATTTTTTCTTGCTTTCAAGGAATAAAAAAATAATCTTATATAATATATGTTTATGAAATTATCATGTACGTGAATGTATATACGTGCATGTATCATTTCGTGAAGACTTATACATTGAAAAATTTGTCTGTTTTTCAATAGTTCTAAAGGTTTTGATAATTTAAGAAAATAGTTTGGCTGATAAAAGTCAAATTAAAAAATACATTTTAAAACAAACTGAGATACAGCGTCTCATTTTATTCTACGAGATTTCATCATTTCTTGTTAGATTTTCAAAATTTTATAGTTATGTTTTATATTTAATATATTTTGTTTTTAAAATAGACCGCTTTTCTAGAATATATAAAACTATAAATTTCTGAAAGCCTAAAAAATAAAAACAAAAATATTTACAGAATAAAATATAACTATCATCCAATGTGTCATGAGGCATTTTTATTTGATTTAACAACGAGAATTATTTGTTTAAATTATCAAGAATTATAGAATTGCAAATAAAACAAAAATTCTCGGTTATTTATAAGTTCACGAAATGAAAGCACGAAATGCGTTAGCTTTACATGCATTTAAAATAACTACATCAATTATATATTTTTACGTCACCTAATTTTTAGCAATTTATAAAGCTATATTATATTAACTCTATTTTGCTAAAAAAAGATAGATATACACATTAGAGACGTATTGCTCAAGCTCTGATTCGAGTGTCTCACGCTTTCGTGGCTACGTGTCATGAATGTGCATAATTGTTGTATTTTTGTTTCAACGATTGTTAATAGGCATGATTTGCACAAGTCTTGCACCAAAGTTACACATACTTATATATATCGTATGAGCACGATCTGCATATCATGCATGTCCTATTCATAATCTACACGAATAAAAAGTACACATTGCAAATGAATGTTACGAGAATAATTCACATTTTAAAAATTTTATTTTATATTTTTCCATTTATTCATATCTCATCGTACTTTTGTCTTTAATCGCGTGAAAAACGACATTAAACTGTCATTAATGAAATAATTTGAAATCTTGAGTATCAATATAAGGAGATCGTAAAATAATATTTATAAAAATAAAATTATCAATTTTTTTATCATTAAATTATATAATTGAAAAATCGATAATAAAGAGATATAATATATCTATGTGCGTATATGTTTAACGTCTATATTCTATCGTAATGAATAACATGCAACTTACCTAAACAACATCGCAGTGCGATTCAAGAAGAAGATGGTCGAAGTTTCGCTGCTATGTTACAAGCATAATGTTGCCAATCTGTACTCTTCACAGTTTTAGTTTGGACGTCAAGCCACCTGAAAGATATAATATACATACTTATATTAAGCTCATTTAAATAATAATTATAGAAACATTACATGCGATATATTAACTAAAGATATATATTACAAAACTAAAAAACCTTAAAAAAGCAGCGGACATAAAAATATACAGACATAAAATAATAATCCGAGACATGTGTTTATATACATTTTTTTTATGTTACTATATGTAATTATCGTAGCAAGTAACGTGAGCATGGCTTTGAGGAATGTCCCAAAGAAAATTAAATTGAGTGCGAGCGCAATCGATGCAGCTGCGAGAATCAATCGATCCTAAGAAAAATATGCGGTTGATGCCGCAGATCGTTACGTCTACGATTGTGGCAATCGTTATGATCCGTTATGATCGATAACCGAGGCACGAAGGGATTTTGCGGTCATGGTACGTCCGAGACAGCATTGTGGAAATAACGGATACGTAATCTCCTGGACTCGATTTAAACGACCGGATTAAACACACCTGTTTGGCGCGTGTCACGTCTATCAACGCCTGGATATACTGTCTCGCCACTGTAAATGTAATCACGTGCGTAATTGAGGCGACACTCACAGATTCCTAATCGTCGGGCCATGTAAGCCGGATTAAGATGGTGCACAAACAATTTTAAAATTTACATTAGACGTTACTTGCATATCAAAATATTCTTCAACAGAGGTTGTACGATAATAAGCGCACTGAGAGAGATGCACGTAATATTTTCTTAAATCGTCTCTTCAATAAATATATTAACACACATATTTTGTTTCTGAATTATAATTAATTTAAAACAAAAATTTTGACACAAACTTTGTATTTCAAAAATCTCTGAATAAAAACAGAATCTTATTCTTCGTCTAATTAAATTTTTAAGCATCAGATTTTTGTCCAACAAAGATTTGAGATAAAATGCTTTGATATATCGAAATCTGCAAATATGTATATAATTTTGAGTAAATTTTGTTAGGAACAATTATTTCAGTTTTTCACAAAAATATCGTTGTCAAATGCGCTTATTACTGCACGCTCTGCGTGCAATATTTATTATAGTGAATCGTGAATATTATAGTCAATGTGAAAGCAATTATTATAATATTATATAATTTAAATAATTGCAATCACATTGGCGAATAATGTCACGGACTGTTGCTGTTGCGGTATTCATTCTCAAAAAAAAAAAACATTTGTCGTGATAGTATCTGTTAAGGTTCGTTAACGAAATGTAGATAAATCTATTTTGTCCTAAGATAAATGATTTATAAACGATCGAAGATTACATTGGATAACATTGGTAATATTCGAGTAGATATAAAAATTTAAAATAATGATTAAATCTATGACGACAAGAATACAGAATGCAACATTTCGTTCAGAAACTCGATTGCATTACTATTTTGAACAAAGCAAACCGAGCTTAATTAATTCGTTATACATTTTTCAAATTATAGTTACATACACGAAAAAGTAAGAAAATTTAATTAAAAATTTAATTTTAAAAATTTAATTAAAAAGTTGAAAGAATAAAAGAATGAAAAGTTGACAAAAAAGTTATATAGTTTCAAATATAAATAAAAATGTTATTTTTAGACACTAGAGTAAAAATCGGCCTTTAGAGGTTTCATATTAAAAATCCCCTTAAAAACATTAGAGAGAAAGGAATTGCGAAATAGAAATATATATAAATATCTGATTACGGCACTCATACAAAAAATGTATATGTATAAACAAGTCACATAATATAATGCATCGTATCAATTGATTCTAACATATTCTCCAAAGAAAATACTCCGATTTTATTCCTATATATTTATTTTTGCAGCAATGTGCAGCGATCAATTACGCTGCAAAATGTTGAATGCAATCAATTATAAAAAAAATAGAATATAAATAAAAAATTATTTGAAAAATATTTCATGTGAATATTTTTTATTATTAACATATTATATATATGTAAAGCAAAAAAGATGTAAATTTTAATTTTTATAAAAACTTATCGCGTGCGATATTATAAAAATGCAGATATATTTTATATATTTAGATTTAATCTCTCAACGTTAATTAAAATATCAACTAATATTCTAAAAAACTGTGCAATTTTGTCCACGCAATATTTCCTGGTTTAATTCACAGCATATCCAACTCCCAATGATGTCAGATGCTCGTGAATCAATTTATATACAAAATCTTTGAATTGCTGAGCAGTATAAAATAATTTGAGTCAGTATTTAAAAAATGCAAGCATTATAATATGTATGAGTTTCAATGAAAAATAAAAAATCAGAGACAATTATGTTCCAATTAGTTAGAGAAAAATTAAGAGATAATACATTTGATGTTGTGTTATGTAACCTGAAGGATCAACACACAAAATTCGTAAAGAGAATCGCGTGGGAGACGGCCACATCAGTCCAAGGTGCAGCGAGCACCTTGGGGATTTCACTCTATTCTACACACGGTGCATCGGATAAAAGAGAAAGAGAGAGAGAGAGAGAGAAAGAAAAGAAAGACGCAAAAGACGAAGTCCAGATATAGACTAGTTACAGGTAATAGTTCGGTAGGTTGTAGTGGTAGCGAGCGGTAGGACCGGTAGGTTTGGTTTACTTCGGGTTTGTGTTGCGACCAGCCGGTTAGCCACTCTTCATCTTCTTCTTCTTCTCCCCACGACTTTCTTTTTCCTCATCTTTTTTCTCCTCTCTTCGCGTTCCTGTCGCAGCCACCACCGTCGCTCTTCTCCTTTTTACAACCGTCGCCGCCATCTCCTCGTTCATGATCTGTCTCTCTATCCTTTCTTTTGTGGCGCTTCCTTATCCTTATTTTAACACCGATAGGGTAGACGTGACAAAGTGCATTCACAAAAGTAGCACCGCATCAGCACGTTTGCCGAGAATGTTTGAGCTGAGAAAGACTGCTTCGTCTTGTCTCTCCTCTGCCACATCGTTTTTCTGATTTTTTTTCTGACTGTATTAGATAATGATGTTGTGTTTCGAATTTATCATCTTTCGTATTCACGACTCAATGAACAATGGTGAGAATGGACGACGCGATCTTTCTCGAAAGAGTCTCTTCGTTGGTACCGGCAACTTTAACGGAGGCGTGCCTATGTCGACAGGCTACCATTAAGACGAGTAAATATATTTTTGTGCAATCTAGATGCAACATAATTCTCGGATTGAGTGGAACTTTTTTTCTCGTCGCATGGGGCTTGGCGGTATTACGATAATATATTCATAAAGTTTGCTTAACATTGTAATTCGCGTACTCGACAGGCTGTCAAACATTAACTCCACATTTATTAACATAACTGTTGCTTGGAATTTCATTTATCTTTCGATTAAGCTATCCACACATTTTTAATTACTAGCTAATTAAAAAATATAAAAAATAAATAATTGAAGAATGTAATGAAGAAAAAAAGAAATCGTATATATATTTCGTATTCCAGAAATAAAAGCGAGAATAAAAGCGTTACTATATTAGCTCGCGGAGCTTGTCATCGCTCAATGACACGAATGACAAATCAAGTAAAAGACGATAGGACGACACGTGTCGTTGATGTTCTCCCATGGAACACGAATGTCAATTGTGCTATTCGCGGTCATTCTTCACCAAGAGATAAATTCTATATCCGGAATCTCTATCATCAGAGATACACATTATCCATTATTACATTACGCGTCAATTGCACAATCGGGTGTTTACGCTTTTTATATAGAAGTCGGCTCTTAACGCGAGTTATATGTCGTCTATAGAGGCGAAGTCTCGATCCCCGGAGTGGCTCGACGATTTCGCAAGTGCTCGGATTCCGCTTGTTGCGCTGGCAGACATGCTGGCAGCAGCTAGCCTTCACGGTGTTGGTGCATGTCGAATCACATATATGTGAAAGGCGAGCGCGCGTGAACGTGTGCATCAAGAATAAGGTAGGTAGGTAGGTTGATAGGTAGATGGATAGATATAGGTAGGTAGGCGCGTATGCCAACAATTGCAACGCGAAATCATAGCATGTATGTATATATATCGGAGCCTGATGTCAGATATACGATAACGAAGAATTTGCCAAAACGCTGGCATCCTGTGTTTTCGTAACTTCTAATTCTTGTTTGCGTGTATTTTGACGCACGTGTTTTATGAAGCTGAAGAAAATCTTCCGTGTCAGTATTTTACTAAAGACACTGAAAAACATTGTAATTACAATTTCGACACGCTATTGAGAGTTATATCGATACGAAAGCTATAATTATACTTCTTCGAATATTTCAGGGTATTTTCGTGTAAATACCGTTTTGAACTTTATCACTTTTCATTTTAAAATCGCAGGATCGTTATTGAAAGCTTTCATTTTTCGTAAGATCAGACGCATTTCTCGGCACAATCGCATGATCGGTCAAAGAAGCACGTTTCGTAACGTTTCATTTCGATAAAAATCCGCGCCGGCTCGGACCTGAGTAGCGCGAGTTCTCGGGGTCCACCGCGCGGAAAACTGGTTGTAACGGAGTTTTATACCGAACGAACGAACCGGTGGACCAGTTTTGCAGCCGTCAATGAAGCGCACTGTACGTGTCGCGCGAATGCACCATGTAAAGAAGAAGAGGGGTCCAGAGGCACGCAGTATCCGAGAGGCAGTCATTGGCCGACCGGCCAATCGCGTCACGTACCAAGAGACGATCATCAGCCGTCGAGTGATTCGTCGTCTATCAGTCAATCAATACATATTTATACTTCTATATTTTCCCATCTCCTGTCATTATTTTGCTACATATGCGCATCACATATCTCTCTATTTCCTCCAAAATTTTTTTTTCTCTTCAACTTTTTGCTTGGTATCAGTACTATTAAGTATTATCGAAGGAGAATAAAAGTTTAATTGTGATTATTTGCGAATGTTAGAATAACAAAATAATAAAATTAAGATGTCGTGTACGTTATCAAAAATTCAGAAAAAATATGGTTTATATATACATATATAGTGACCTTCATTTTTTAATTTAGCGTTTTATTT